AAGGAAATCAAATAAAACATCTCAGAAGTTGTTTTTTTTTCATATGTTTTATGATTGCTTCCAGTGCTTTATTACGACAGGTATGAAAAGAGTTTTGATCCGTATTAGTAGTATTCGAGCTGCCCTATTTTCTACGACTTACAGAGTCCGAATTGAATCAGATCCGTATAGAAAAAAAAGGATCTCAAGTAGCGCATTTTCCTATAGATCGCTTTGAAAAAGAGGGATTTATGGAAACGAGCAACATGTCGTGCCCTGCATTCTCGCGTCTACAAGCAGCAGACAATGAGGACGAGTCATGAGACTGCCCACGTGGGACTAAGATGTTATTATAGAAAAAATTAAATAAGTGGAACGAAAATTATTTAATTCGTGTATGAAACAGTAAAAATTATGGTAAAAAAGTAGAATACAGGGTACTGATCACTAAAGAATGTAATGAAATTGTAATATTTTCATGCTATAAGATTCTAATCAGAATCTTATAGAAATCTTACCAGTTTCTGATATAAGATTCATATCAACATCTTACGCATTTCCGTCGACTGCTTTATTAAGAAATTCATAAAATTCTTACAAGAATCTGATAAGAATAACGTACGAGTTTTGTTGACTCTTACCAATTTCTTATGAATTCTTGTGACATTCTTATAAGATTCAGCAGAATTCTTGTCACTTTCGTGGAAGATCTTATATAAGAATTGAGTAAGATTCTTATAAGGTTCTTATAATATGCTTGTAAGATTCTTACATGCTTCTTATATGTTTCGTATCTGATTCTTATATAAGAACCGATGACTAGGGTATATACCTGCATGGTAATACATTACTATTTGAAAAATTTAAAACTTAGTTAAAACTAATCGAGTAGTTATTAAAGTAGCTTGACAAGTGTAACGTGATATGTTCTATAAAATGGCATGTCTGGAGCTTGCGGTTGTGTGAATTTGTGGTAGACACTATCTAGTCGTTATGATAGCATTCTTAAGTCTAAGTAATGTGTCGTTAGGGAGTTGTACGTAGTTTATATTGACAGTTTCCTTAGATTTTCCGGAATTTCTGCATTTTCGGGCTCTTTGCAATAATTGAATATCTCAGCAACGCAACAACTTTAGAATCTGCGGTTTTCGTCGAAATTCATGAAAATATTTGCTTTAAAGAAGTCCACTATGTTGAAAGAAATCTGAGATGGTCGATTGAGCAACATTATACGATAATAGGTCGTGGCTTATCTTTAATAGCTCTGAAATCATAAAAAATAGATTGAATGTTGAATAGCATTTCGGTTACCTCAACATAACAGAAAAAGAAAACTTTATTATCAGGAGAAGAAAAGAGTAAAACAAAGTCTAATCTATGAATTAGACAATATGACATAAGATCCGGACTATAGAGAATTTTCATAATATCTTGATTAGGAAAAAAAGTAAAAATGTGCTAGTATGAAAACGACAGTTTGCAATAACACACGATTTGTCTTCTCTTTTACAGCCACATATCAGTTGAATGTTAACTATCAAGTGTTGGTTCGACAGTCAATGCTGATCCATGTCCACTTCTTTCACTTGTCAAAGATGTACTAAATTCCCATGTGTTTGTATCAGGATCATAGATTTCAACAACAGATAAAAAATTGTTACCATCGTAACCACCTTGAAATAAATAGAGGAAATAATATAACTAAACACATTTTCAGAAATGTCGAACGTACCCGTAGCAAGTATTTTTCTATCTAATACTACACAACTATGTGCACTTCGTCGACAATGTAACGATTGAATAAATGTCCATTGGTTTGATAAAATATTGAAACATTCAACTGAATCTAGTTGTGTTGCTACATTTTCATTGCTTGTGTAACCACCAACAACATAAATGAAATGTTCAATTGAACAAGCAGCTAAACAGATACAAAAGAATAATTGACATGTTACAATATAAGACTATATACTCTACCTACCTGCTCCACTTCTATTAGTTAGCATCGGCACTTCTTTTGTCCATGTATTTAAGTCAGGATTATACGATTCAACATCATTTAGTCGCTTTTTACCGTCATAACCACCAAGTGCAAATAAAAGACGGTTATTTGTTGTTACAGCTAAACCAATTCGTTGCATATTCATTGGACTCACAAATTCCCATGTATCACTTCTGGCTGAATATCTAAATAACATAAACAAATTTAATGCATATAGCCCGTCAAAATCATCTTACCTTTC